ATTTGAACCTTTTCTGTTCATTTCTCAAATAAATATTCACTGCTGGGGTGACTAGCCTTCACAATTATAACATTATTGTAACTAGTCAAAAATAATATGATTTTGCTTAACTTCTTTTTAATACAGATGGCTTAAAAATAAAAAGAACCAGTGTCTTTCTATTGTAATCTTATAAATAGCCTTCTAACAGTCTTGTATTTTTTATAAGCTTCCTACCACTCCCCTGTTGTAGTAAACTTCAGAAAAGGTTGCGATTCCAAAGGGCTGCCTACCAACTGAATGGCATCCTGGCCTCGGCAGGCTGAGCGCCTCATTCTGGCTGCTCTCACTCCCTCTAGCGATGGCAAAGCTCATCTGTCTGATCACCCAGTTACCTCACTGAACGAGAGCTTGGCGAAGTCCTGCCCATCTATGACATCACCCCCTTCTTCAACCACTGCGAGGTGAAGCCTTAACTTCAGACTTGGAGGTGGGCTGTGCAGTAAACTGGAATGCTGTCCCTTGCTCGCTCCTCAGTGGAGGCGTGATCCGAACAGGACCAGCTCAGCCTGCAGCTGCCGTTGGCTTTGTGTGGACTGGACGCCGAGCTGGGCAGAGGGGGAGGGTTATTACTCCAATTCCCAGGCAGTGGAATTACAGCTAGAGCGGCAGAACATATGGGATTGCTTTTTCTCGCCTTCCCGGTAAGTGTTTCCCATGTTTTTCCTTATGATTGTCCCAGAAAGTTTGCTTGGTTTTACTCTCTAGAAAGAAATGACTTGGTATCATGAGGCATCCAAATACGAACGTTTGCTCTGTCACCAGGACAAGCAATGTATGTGCGTGCAAGCCAGCAAGGAAAAATTGGACTGTTACAGCCAAATGCAAGAAGTTTCTTGAAACCTTTCTTTCATTAAAAAAAAACTAATGATAAATGGCTATTTTCTGTCTCGTGTCATTGCTATTTGAAAAGAGCCTTATAGAAAACATTAAGTTGGAAAGTTAAATGTTAGATGTTAAAGAATACGAGGCAGATTTTTTCACAGAGAGGAAAACGAAAGGTCTTGCTAACTTGGTGTGTACTGTATGTGTGGTATGATCACCAATTGCTGCTTTTACAACTGTGAAAGAAAATCAATAATCCCTCAGACCGTAAATACACAGTACATGAAAAGCATATATCTTGCTCACAGCTAGCCCAGCTACTCCTGGAGACTTATGTGCCTCTGGAAGGATTAACAGCTACACCTAGATTTTAAAGCTTGCACTGCTATCCTGCCAGAGCTGCTTCAAGCATTTCAGGCTTGCAAATCTCAACTAGTGAATTCAACTCCGAGGAGGGGGAGACTCTCTTACAAACCATATCCCCTCTCCAGAAGAACGCCAAAAATCCATTGCTTGGGCAAATGTAGTATGTGACTAGCATAGTAATTGGCAAAGTCTACTCAGAATAACTAACAAAGCTCAGCCTGGAAGTTAAGCCTGATGTATGCAGGGATTTCAGTGTGGCAGGGGGTAAAAAATGAGTAGAGCCCTCATCAAGTGGGATATGCAGAGTATCCATTCACTTGCAACTTATAATGGGAAAATCTTATATTGAAAGAAATATTTTTATACAACAAAGCTTTCCAAAAGTAGTTAAATGTATCTTCTCAAGAAAATTTTTTTTCAGTGAATTAGATCTGAAACAAAATGGTTGCATAGAGGTAAAAAGTACAACAGGCCTATATTTTCTCAACATCTGGGGGTTTGATTGTTATTTATTTATTGAGAATTTAAAAGATTTTTTAAAAGCCTTGATATGTGCCAATCATGGAAACAAATTCTCCAATGGTTTTAACAATTAACTATTTTAAATTTTCTTAATAAATCTATCTGCTCTAAAATGCACACATATGTTCCTTCGTTATAGCAGGAAACAACATGAATAAAGCCACTAGAAAAGTGCTTCAGCTGTAGCAATGCCTTTCATTTATCCCCGACAACATAGGAATATCCTGACCAGCATAAACATAAAGAATGAATTTGTCTGTTTTCAGATAGGACCACTTATGTCTGCTCCAAAGTGACAGATGACAGATACCCATCTCTCTTGAAATGAGTAAAGAAAGAAATGAACCTTTTAAAAGTACTACAAAATATTAATATTACCGCTACTACCAATATTAATAATAATATGCCAGGTTTTAATCTATAAGAAGATTAAATCAGAGATATGCCAGTTTGCAGATATATGTGTGTGTATACACAACATATACACACACATACACAAATACATACATATATTAGCCTGAAATAAAAAACAGCGTTACAAAAACATGATTGCATGTATTTAAGTAGGAAAAGCACGTCTAATTTCTTTTTTAAATAGAGCACTGCCAAAAATATATCTAGTCCAAGGATCAGAAAAGATATTATTGAATGAATAAACATAATGAATTCATTAATATTGTGTATAATATTATCAGTTATTAATTAGGCTGTATAATACTATCAGTTATTAATTGGGCTTTTCATTCCCTCCCCAATTTTAACTCAATTATGGTTAGGTTCAAAATGCCCAATTAAACACTTCCTAAACATTAACGTTTGTGGAATATATAACTGGGCAGCAAGTAAAGTTTTTACAAAAAGAAGAAAAACAGTAAGAAAATTTGTGATAACTGAATGTGGCAGTAAAATAGAAGGTATGTTTCTTTTGCTTTCAGGTGTTAATTAAGGAGCCTCCAATTCCATCAAAACTTTTTCAGAGCTAAATGAAGCGGTGTGAAATAAATTTGGTTGAAATCTTGTGGCTGTCAGACTTTGTTAGCAAGCTATTAATTATCTTTACCCCAGTTTCTTCTCTAGACTATATTGCCCAATCAAATAGAAACTCCAATTACATTCAGCACCTCCTGCCTAGGGACACAAGACCCTAATGAACACTCAGTGTCTCCAGATGAAAAATACAATTTTCATCTTTAAACATGCAAGTGCACTGCAGAGAGATTTGTCTCTGCTTTTCTTGGCCACACACACTAGGGCTTCCTCTTCTTTCTGAATTATTTTGAACAATTTTAAACCCTACAAAAATCAGTAGCAGAGAACTTGCCTTGTATTAATATCATATGAATGCTTCTTTATGCTTTTATTCTAGATATGCCAAATGTTCATACCAATATTAAATTAAATCTGGTCATTAGAAAAAAAAAATGGTTAAAACTGCCATTTCAGTGGATCTTAACTTTTCCCCCTATTTTTAAGGTGGGTGGGCTACGTAACAAAGAATATGTTTAATGCCAAGACTAACTTAAAAATTTTGATTAAACCCCCTTAAATATTCTTTTATTCAACCAGTTTATTTTAATAGTATTATAAATAATTGTTGACAGTCAAATGAAGACCACTATAAATGAAGTCAACGAGGGAAATAAGATTCAGTAAATTGTTCAAAGCCTGTAACTTCTTCCCTCCTTTTCTCCTCAGTCCCCCTTGCCTCCTACCCCCACCTTTTGCCCCAGAGGCCTTTACTGTTCTTCTCAACGGGAGGCTTTGTTGTAATTAAACCAGAGGAAAACTGGCTGGCAGCAGCCAACATCTGACTTAGGGCTTCTGAAAGCAGTGTTCTGGTAGAGTGTACCACCCCCCAGCGGGCAAAAACTCTACAGTAAATCTCTAAGCAGTATTAATTCTCCAAAGTGCATTTTTCTCTTCAGAGCATTAAAAGGGCCTTTTCTCGACTCTTTCTAACATTCCACCATTTCAAAAACTTATCACAAGTCAACAAACAAATTTCCATCAAAGAGATGGTTTGTAAATGTCTTCTGGAAAAAGCCTTCTGCCGCTTAAGAACCGAAATAGGAATATACATTTCAGAAAGCATTTTCCAGTTTCAGAATGCAGATCAACATCGCTAAATTTGGTAAACCATCACACTAAAAAACAGTCTGAAAGCCATGTTTATATTGCATAGGAGAGCAGGTTTCAGGAGTTTGACTTGTCTGGTGACAAGAACACCAGACAAAACAGATTTTAAGTAAAAAAGAACGAAATGTAATCTAAGCAGCAGCTAAAGTTGCATTTGTTTAACATATGCATAATCTCTTTTCCTAGCCCCCAAATCAAGTGTCAGGAATGTATAAAAAGCTCTCTCCAGGTATTAGTCTGCTTAAATGAGAGAAAGGAGAAATTGCTCTCTCTTGATGAGACAATGACAGCTTTTGTTCTTTATTCTTTCACTTTTCACGTGCACAAGTTACCGTGGCAACTTTGAAAAGAAAACCCAGAGACCACATTTGGTTAAACACCATTTTTAAAGTGTGCCACTGGACTGTGGATTGATCAGTTTATGTGTTGATGATTTTCTTCCTCTTCATTTGGTTTAAATCAACAATACTCAACTCTGACATGAAAAAAAAAACGGTGTTTTTTATGATTATTGATGTTATCATCCAGCCCAGTGCTTGGCACACAGTACACCCAAATATTTGTTCTACTAGAGTATGGAAACTTGAATATTAGAAATTTAAAGCATATCAACCAAATTGTACTCACAACACTGTAAAAGGCATTTCAAGTTTGCAGCGGGAAAATGTGGTTTAACAAAGATAAGCATAGTTTTAATTGCAATTGCTTAAAAGTCATTGCAAACTTAAAGCTTGTCCCCTGCCCCAAGCTCTCTACTGCTCACCTTTACCAACCTTTAAATTAATATCTTATTCATTCTTATAAGCCATGGTTTTCTAACTCATTTAGTCTGGCTTAATATCATAGAGGAAGCAGCCTTCACTATGATGAAAGATAACATCCCAGTTTGCCTTTTTGTTTTAAGGATGCTCAGTTTAACTTTATAAGCCAAAACAAATGAAGCAGAATTAGATTCATTTATCACAAACCTATTGGGGAAAAGAACCAGTAACGTAAAAGGAGAAAGAAAAAATACTTTGCTTTGGAACTTTCATCCCCTATTTGCATAAATGAAACAAACCTTACAGGCCAGAAAACAGTCTGGATAAAACTACGTAAGGAAAGGCACACTTGCTTCTCTGCCTCTCAGCAAACCCTTCAGACTTCATGACTCTCAAGAGGAGAGTTAGAGGTCCTTCTGCTTGCCTGGCATTAAACAAAAGAATTGGAACTTTCCTGAAATCTGATGATCGTGGAAAATTTAACTACCAGACAGGCTGCTTAGAAAGCATTTTGCTGTCACTATCAACTAACCTGATGTACTCCAGTTTTTCAGTTTAACCATACACGTAGTTTATTTGAAATATCATTTGTCATTACAAAGAATTAGCATTCATAGGTTGATCATTTTGTTGAGCTTTCTAGCAGCAATTTAAACCTTCATGAATAAATTACTTTCCTAATACTCCAAATTATGATTGTATAAATTCCAGTTTACCTAGAAATATTCACAGACTTGGATAAATTTGAGTAAGCATACGTTTTCTTCAATCTCAAGGTTTTACTCAAAATAATAACGCAATTAACTTTGATTAAGAGTTCTACATGCCTTTCTACTTTTAGATTTAATATTTTTAAAAGTTTCCCAGAGAGTTAAGAGACCCTGATGTGAGGCAAAGCATTAAAAAGAAACGAAAATCTCAAAACTCTATACTCGATTTAATATTTTTTTAAAATGAGCAATGATTTCAAATCAAAGTCCATTTAAATCAAAGCGAGCAAATAAAGGATTTAGGAAGTTAGCACTATCAACATATAATCTTAATCTAAGTGTTCAAAAATGAGAAATACCTTGTCATCTCAAACATTCCCACCTCCAAAATATTGTAGTAGCAAAGAAGGACTCATATAAACATGTAGATTACCTCAAGTTCTTGACTTTATTTAAATACCAGTTTTCTATTCAGATACAACTTCTTCAATTATGTTAGTTTTCTTAAACTATCTCAAAATGATAGCATCTTTATCTATTTACATTCTTTTATGTATATCATGGAAATCAATTGGAGGCTTCTTGCAGATGTGATTACATTATAAATGCATTTTTAAAAATCCACAATTTTTATTTATAAAGATAAACTGAATAGGAAAATCCATATTAAAAATCTGATTTACCAGTGAGGCGATTATGTTTTTCTTCTTTTTGCTACAGTTCTACATGCTATATACTGAAGCAATGATACAATTTTAAAAAAATTTTAAACATTCCTTTAAATAACCAGGGCTCCATTTATGTTTCCCCCCAAGTTACCCCATTAACAATATTTTTCTAAAAGATCGATTCCTTTTTGTTCAGAAGTAATGGCCTCTTTCAAGCCTATGCAGACATAAAGGCTCTGAAGTCAATGTTGTGGAAACCAGGCCACAGGGTCCATGCCAGTCGGGATCATTTTTCTTTTCATCAGTCACATTCAACTACAATGTCTTTACGTGCGTGAATATGTAGAGCCAGCTCGGAAAGGGGGAAAGGGGGAAGTCTAAGCACAGGGGCAGGATCACCTATTTTAGATGGAGAGACCATTACAGCCTCTAATATGCAAAATAAAACAAAACTCTTTAGCACTATAGGTTTTAAATATAAAAAGTCAGGAGAAGATATAAAATATAAGATATAAAACACAATCAAGCATGCATTTGAACTGTTTGAGCTTAAGTAAAGGGAGTAAGAACTTGTGAAGGAAGCTTCATTTTCCAAAGGGTATCCTTCTCTCCAGAGAAACATGCTTTATATTTTTGCCTTTTGTTTTAAGGCAGTCTGGGGAGAAAACAATGGCATTTTCCAAGAATTTAATGAGATTTCAGGCTTTCCGTTAATCCCACATTATTACCACTATTGTATTAATGGCAATGTGAGTTTGCATAGCAAATAGAGCAGAGGAAGCAGTTTCACAAATGTAAAACAGAAAAATAAACAAATTAATCCTCCTTCTTTTCACACCAATTTAGAATATTTTTTCTTTCTCTGGGTTAAAAATGTGAAAATCAATACACATTCTTGGAGCTTGAATTGGTGAAATACTTACAGATCAGCTACAAGCTTTAGCTCTGGTTATCACTATGATCATCACCTTGCACATACTCTAGGCTGACCAACAATTTTTAAATTCCCATTTGTCAGATTAATCTTTTCAATTTTAGAGTATGTCCTGGTGTATGAGAAATGGCCAGCTATTGGCAACATTTTAAGCAGGTTCTCACCTGTGATTTTTATAATGGTTTTGATTAGTTTTTAATGCAGTTCAACAAAAGTAACTATTTTTTAAATTGCTTTAAATTTTTTCTTAAATTTACCCAATTACTTTATATGTTGAATAATTTTCAAGCTTAGGAAACATTTACAGAAGATACTTTTTAAAGTAACATTGTAATTATAACTTCACAGCTTGCTTTTCCATTTTCACATACCAAGAAAGTAACAGTTTTCAAGAAAATACTCCACTGAAATTCAACAATAATGAGCAAAACCCAAAGGCATCACTGTAAAACCTCACACTAAACAATAAATCACTTAAACTTTCCTTTGTGGGCACTTTGCAATATTCACTAGAGACTACTTTATCCATCTGCTAACTGCTATTTTTATTTCAAGTTGCCTAAATAATAAATTAAATGTATCTGTAATTTTTTTTGTTTTCTTCTGTTAATGCAGTCTATTAGTGTTGATATCTGGTGACAAACTAAAAGAAATCAAACTTTCAAAGAGAACCAGAAACACAAATTTTGGCCTTATTTAACATTCACTTTCAGTAGTGTTTGAATTCTGGAACAGATGCTATCCTTGTTGGATGCTAGGTAATTACTGGGGGAGAAGCAAATTGCTTCTACTTTCAGGGTCAAATATTTCCATGATACCTTAATGAACCCTACTTGTATAGAAAGCCCCTGAGTGGGTGACCTTGCGTAACAGATACTACCCACCTCCCCTGTCCACCCCCAAAAATTGTCATGCATATTAGATAATGAACAAAGCAGTCATCATTAAAATCATAAGTCTCTTTGCTAAAGCCTTAAGCCCTTAAGCCCTTTCAGAAGTGAAAAAGACAGTCATTGGAGATTGGCATGTTCCTGTCTGAACCTAGAGAGAAATGCCTTGTCAGCTTTTGATATGCTTTCCTAATGGTCATTACAAGGAGACATTGAAATAGCTTCCTTTCTGTCCCAAATACAGTTTCTCAAGTTCAGTTTGCTAAAAACTGTATTCTCCTGAAAAAAATACTATGACTTGAACTTCTGTGCTGCCTTTTGGCCAGCAATACCTGAGTAACTTGAGTTTCAAGATCATCAACTAGCCCTTAAAAACACCTCTAAGGAGGAAGGTCATAGTGTCCACATTCTGCAATTGGGAAAATTGAGGCCTGCAGGAAGAATTAAACAGGGCCCTGGGCAAATCAAAAGAAACGCTTCTAAAGCAAACCCTTTTCAACTCTTTAAATTGTAGATTGTATGACTTTGTAAAACTATGTTCAGAAATGTCTAAAACGTTACCATGGCATTTCTGTCAAAAATCCTTGTTATGTCTTTGTTCACCTCTTTGATGTGCACTTGTTTTCTTTTTAAACATTTTATCATTTTCTATCTAAGATTTAAAAGTGAACTTTTAAAGATTGGCCTGACCTGAATTCAAAATCCATGGAAAGGGCTTACTGCCTCTTGAATGAAGCTTTGCTTCTGATTTGTTGAACAATCAGTTAACAATTGAAATCATCTATTTGGTGACAATCTCAACTTTGGCTTCCACTTTATTTATATAAACGGGAAGTAAAAGACAAAGAGGTCATCTTATCCCTTTGCAACAACTACTATGACGAAAGATGTGTTGCTTAAAGAAAGAAGTGAAGTTAAATTTCTAGGAAATTTCTCTAGTGTGTTAATGTTCATTGTTAATAGTTCATTAAAACATTTTACTTTCACAGGAGATGCTCAGACCCAGTGTATTTCAAGGAAGAGAAACATAAAGGAAATCTAGTATGCTTCCTTTTTTTTTCCCATGAAGAATATTTGAATTAAGTTTTTTTTACCTCTTGAAAGAATACCTGTTCTTTCATAACCTGTGACTGCACCAGCTATTCTGAGAAAGCAGCAAGAAGCAAAAGCTGGAAATAGCTATTTCACAGCAGGTAATCACACCTCAGGATGTAGCTACTGTACAAAGTTTATACTTGGATAATACTGGATGGGAATAAAGGTGGGGGGTAACTGCCTGAAAAACCTATTACTATACAGGTCTTAGCATCATGAATGGCTTTCTTCATGAGGATCTGAAGTTACTATGTCTGACCACATTGCACAGAAGAGCCAATAAGAATTTCAAAGAGAACAGTTTCCACTAAGGGAATTAAGCTACACAAAAGGAACGTTCACACAGAAACTCTATAAGAAAGAAAAAAAAAAATACATAGGAAACCATGTGTTCTACATAGTAACAGGAAACTGAATTGTTTCTGGTCCCCACTTTAATAAGCTTGCCCACCATGCTGAACCGCAGCCTGATCTGGAGGTGTGTGCGGCATAGGATTACTTGAATAAACAGTGAAGAACATTTCCAAGGACTAAACAAGAGTTTATAAGTCCCAGCCCCTCACCAGGAAAATAATATATGCGCATTGGATTTTCACTCACGCAAAATTTACCCACACCGTTCAATAAGGTAGGAAAAATATTAAAGTCTTTTATTTTCATGCCTGAAATTATAAAGGCTAATTAATACCTAAAGGTGCTGAAGAAATTATATTACACAATAGATCAGTACAAATCTATAATTCTCCAGCCATGGAGAATGTTGAATAATATTTTAGATTAGAACTTGAAGAAAGATAAATGCATTGTGAAAACATGTTATGAGATAGAATGTAATGAAAAATGTTCATAAAGCCATTAAACCATGTAGTACAAAACATACAATAAAATGGGAGAAAGAAAGAGCTAGTTTAACATGAAATGGAATTTTCCACTTAGATTAGCTAGATGTATTAGCTGTATGTCTTTCCTTCCCTAAAGTAAATGAAAAAGATTCCTTCTGATTTTCTTGCTAGAAATACCTATCTCACATGTTTAATATTAATAATCAAAGAAAAATAACATCAATAATCAAAGCAAACACTTGGCTTTACTGGGATTCAGGATCTCAAGAGATTTGTAACTATTCCTGAATAGTAAGAGAATAGATTTTTTTGACTACAAATTTTACAGTTGTGCAGTCTACCTAATAGAAAGCAGATATAAAATTTTCGTTCTTAAGAACAGTAATATTATCATCTTTAAATATAACAAACCATATTCATATGTGTCAATTCATTATGAATATTAAGAAAAAATTAGAAATCTGACTAGCTTCGTCAATGACTGGCTACAAAACTGATATAAAGTATTATGAAAATGCTTTAGAATATACAATAAAACTAATTATATTTAACATTTCAAAGCCAGATAGATTTGGGACATAATACTTAATACCAGAAACATTTAAGGTAAAAAGATTATGTGATTGTGTTCGTTGTTAGCTAGCAATAAAACCTAAGCATGCAAAAAAAAAAAAATTAACTAATAAAAGTGATTATAGATGTGCAGTTTCCATATCTATTTTGAATACCATTTTAAATACGCTGGCCTGATGGTTTTCTGTATTTTTTTTTTTTTTTTTTTTTAACTCACTCCATTTTAGGGCTCTGAAACTACCTTGTGTAAAGACCTCAACATTGATGACCATGATCAGCCCAAGCTGGAGCATCTTCCTCATCGGGGCTAAAATTGGGCTGTTCCTCCAGGTGGCACCACTACCAGTTATGGCTAAATCCTGTCCATCTGTGTGCCGCTGTGATGCCGGTTTCATTTACTGTAATGATCGCTTTCTGACATCCATTCCAACAGGAATACCAGAGGATGCTACAACTCTCTACCTTCAGAACAACCAAATAAATAATGCTGGGATTCCTTCAGATTTGAAAAACTTGCTGAAAGTAGAAAGAATATACCTATATCACAACAGTTTAGATGAATTTCCTACCAACCTACCAAAGTATGTAAAAGAGTTACATCTGCAAGAAAATAATATAAGGACTATCACTTATGATTCACTTTCAAAAATCCCCTATCTGGAAGAATTACATTTAGATGATAACTCCGTCTCAGCTGTTAGCATTGAAGAGGGGGCATTCCGAGACAGTAACTATCTCCGGCTGCTTTTCCTGTCCCGTAATCATCTTAGCACAATCCCCTGGGGTTTGCCCAGGACTATAGAAGAACTCCGCTTGGACGATAATCGCATATCCACCATCTCATCACCATCTCTTCAAGGTCTCACTAGCCTAAAACGCCTGGTTTTGGATGGAAACCTGTTGAACCACCACGGTTTAGGTGATAAAGTCTTCTTCAACCTAGTCAACTTAACGGAACTGTCACTGGTACGGAATTCCCTGACTGCTGCACCAGTAAACCTCCCAGGCACAAACCTGAGGAAGCTTTATCTTCAAGATAACCATATCAGTCGGGTGCCCCCAAATGCTTTTTCTTATCTAAGGCAGCTGTATCGACTTGATATGTCCAATAACAACCTAAGTAATTTACCTCAGGGTATCTTTGATGATTTGGACAACATAACCCAATTGATTCTTCGCAACAATCCGTGGTATTGTGGGTGCAAGATGAAATGGGTGCGTGACTGGTTACAATCACTACCTGTGAAGGTCAATGTGCGTGGACTCATGTGCCAAGCCCCCGAAAAGGTTCGGGGAATGGCTATCAAGGACCTCAATGTGGAACTGTTTGACTGTAAGGACAGCGCAGTTGTAAGCACCATTCAGACAAACACTGCAACACCCAACACAGTGCATCCTGCTCAAGGACAGTGGCCAGCTCCAGTGACCAAACAACCAGACATGAAGAACCCCAAACTCACTAAGGATCAGCGAACCACGGGGAATCCAGCAAGAAAAACAATTATCATTACTGTGAAAGCTGTCACCTCCGACACAATTCATATCTCTTGGAAACTTGTCCTACCTATGACTGCTTTAAGACTCAGCTGGCTCAAACTGGGTCACAGCCCAGCGTTTGGATCTATAACGGAAACAATTGTAACAGGAGAACGCAGTGAATACTTGGTCACAGCCCTGGAGCCTGATTCACCCTATCGAGTCTGCATGGTTCCCATGGAAACCAGTAACCTCTACCTATTTGATGAAACTCCTGTTTGTATTGAGACTGAAACCACACCCCTTCGAATGTACAACCCTACAACCACCCTTAATCGAGAGCAAGAGAAAGAACCTTACAAAAACCCCAATTTACCATTGGCTGCCATCATTGGTGGGGCTGTGGCCCTGGTGACCATCGCCCTTCTTGCTTTAGTGTGCTGGTATGTTCATAGGAATGGATCACTCTTCTCAAGGAACTGTGCATACAGCAAAGGGAAGAGAAGAAAGGATGACTATGCAGAAGCTGGCACCAAGAAGGACAACTCCATCCTGGAAATCAGGGAGACTTCTTTTCAGATGTTACCGATAAGCAATGAACCCATCTCAAAGGAGGAATTTGTAATACACACCATATTTCCTCCTAACGGAATGAATCTGTACAAAAACAATCACAGTGAAAGTAGTAGTAACCGAAGCTACAGAGACAGTGGTATTCCAGACTCAGATCACTCACACTCATGATGCTGGAGGACTTGCAGCATACCGTGTTTCAGTTTTTTTAAACCTAAGGGAGGTGATGGTAGGAACCCTGTTCTACTGTAAAACACTGGAAAAAGAGACTGAGAAAAGCAATGTACTGTACATTTGCCATATAATTTATATTTAAGAACTTTTTATTAAAAGTTTCAAATTTCAGGTTACTGCTGCGATTGATGTAGTGGAGAAGCCTGAACACAATTCTATATTTTAGTACTTTTTAGTAATTTGTACTGTATTTTCCTTGCAAATATTGAAGTTATAAATCATTTACTTTGTGTTCTACTGAGTAAGATGACTTGTTGACTGTGAAAGTGAATTTTCTTGCTGTGTTGAACAATCAGAACTGCGTTCACATGAGATCCTTGTAGTATAAGCACAGGCCATTTTTCACTTTGGTATTAATAAAATGTAAAAAAAAAAAAAACTGGATGAATGAGAAAAATTAAATTTCAAAAGGTAGTTATGAAATAATGTTCCAATTATTAAATTTGTATTCCAGTGGTATTCAATAATCAAAATATGTGAAGTAATGGGCAATATCAGACTTGCTGCAAAACTCCATTTTTACCCTAAGCAAATTAGATATCCTTAAGAAAGTAAACATATCTTCTGAACTGAATCCATCAGCTGGCATAAAAGGAGTGTGAAGTCTGCTGTTGTTAATGCCATTGTTAACAAAGCTTTGAGAATAAAGGACTTCACAAAAACAATAATGTAAGCGTGCTTCCAGGTTAGGGGGAAATCTGTACTTAGGAAAACATGAAAACTTAGACTCGCATAGCGTAATGAACACAAATCTCAGAATTGCATTCTGGTTTTGCCTGTACCATCCTGATTTTTGAAAAGTCAACTCTAAAGACACAATTGTTTATGTTTATGATGTTTTTATCATAAAGGATGTCAAAAAAAACCTTACACACATTAAAAAGGTAGCATAACCATAAGCAATTCCCCTCAGCAATGAAGAGAAAGTAGTACTTTAAATGAGAATTTAAAAGAAAAATGAATACTAGAAATTAAACTTAGATCTGGTTTATGTGAAACATTTTAACACTGTACATAAACGTTCAATTTACGTTCACAATGATCAAGAATACTGCCCATTACTGTCACAGTTTTCCAGATATTACAGAATAAACTTGTAATGTAACATTTCTTTCCAGCTTCCTACTGAATTGTGAGCTATTACTTGTTTAAAAACCTCATCACTTTTCTGTTGCCATGATTTTTTTTTTCCCAACAAAAAACCAAAGTGCATTGTACGCCCTTTGGCCAGTCTTGTATGTGCCTTGATCCAACGCTACATGTATTCAGCTTTTAAAACTCGACAGATTTTTCATACTTCCTTAAATATGAAAAATTGTGGTCTTATTGCTGAATAAAACAAAAGAAAGGACAAAATAATTGTGCTTGCTTTTTCGGGATTATGTTACTATCACTAAAGTAGCAAACTGCCCAGCACATTAGTCCTAAGTACCCCCCTGTATTTTTCTAGGCATAAAAATAAATGTTGGCTACAAATAAAAAAATAGCAATATCTTGAGCTTGTGTATCATTTTACTTAAGGGTTCAGCGTTTCATGCATAAACGAATATCCTAACAGTCTTTTGGAATACTCTTACAGAAAACTTCAGAAGTGGTTTTGTGACCTTTCAGTCTTTGTATACTGCTGCTGTTGTCCTGGTTGATACTTTAAAGTGGTTTTTGAAAAATTAATATTTTTTAAAATAGCTTTTTGGTAGTATGAGTTGGCATCAGAGGATCTGATATCCCAGATTTACCACTTACTGGGTATGTGAAAACAAACCATTTACTCTCCTTAGCTTAGTTTCCTTATCTATACCGTGGGGCTATTAATACCACCCACCTCACAGGGTTGTTGTGAGGATTAAATGAGACAATGTGCTTGGAAATTGTACAATGTTCAACAAAATACAAGTTACTACTATTATGGTCAAGCAGAGTGAGCCATGTGTTCCCAGTGGTTTGTTACATATCGCTGTTTCTACTACTCTACTAACAAATATCTCCAACTGCCTATGAAACCTCATTTATTCATTTGCCATCTTCAAATGTTTCTCAATACTTTCACTTTTGACTTCCTGTTAAGGACAGTTGTTTTCTAGGGATAACTTAGCAAAGAAAATGTGATTAACATTGGATACAGGGAACATTTTCTGAAGGAAGTTTGATTTTGCTTCCACAGGTTTTGAGTAGTTTAGCTACAACCTCTGCCAGAAGTCAGGGAAAGGGCTGGATGGTTCCATAAAGTCCCTATAAACCTGTGAGTTTATAAAAAGTCAAAAGCCAAGACTATTTTCCAGTTAGTATACCTTCCATGAGCACAGAAAATTTAATGTGCTCTGATACATGCATTTTAATTATTTTACCTGGGATAAATCAGAAATATGTTTTACACTAGCAAATAGAGAAAGCACTGAGAGGGTAAAAGTTTATTCTTTTACCTAGGCTTGCTATGAAATCCAAATACTTTGCTGAAATATATATATACTTTCAATAAATGACAAAACACAAATCTCCACCTTAAGGGACACTAAATTAATTATATATACATATACATCTATCCCAAGCTAAATGTTCACAATTTTTACTGATCAGGTACTAACAAAGAAAAATGTAGGAAACAAAAAATTCAATCCTGAATATGCAGCTTATACATTTAACAAGAATACAATGGGGAAGCTACAAAAAAAATGAGGGAAAAATCACTCCCCTGCTGAA